TGCTTATCCTCAGTGCCACACCGAAATATGAATTCCACTGAATGCCACCTGATCGCTCACTGTCGTCGGGTTTATGACTCCATGCTGTCTGGTAGCTGAGTCACTAAGTGTTGGAGTCAGAGCACAGTACACATGCTGGCCTTGTCACTGACTGGCTGTGACTCTCTAACACGTCCCTGATCTGTAAATGAAAAAACTACAGCTTTCTCAGAGGATCTCTGTGGGGATTAAAGTGGAAAAATTGGCACAGATTAGGGATTCCATAAATATCCCTTTCTCCCAAGACTTATGACTATGACTACTGGCTGAGATCTTTAGTTCACCAAGCCATCTGCCAAATTAATTGGGATATGAATGGTCCTGAGGCTATGAGCCATCACTATAGTAAAACAATGGGACAAAAGAGGTCAGATCATTTCCATCTGAGATCTCACTGGATTATTAAAGAGCCCACCAACAGGATTTCAGAGGCTGAAACAGTCCTCGGTCCTGAGGGGCCTCTCAGCCCATCTATTCTGGGCCTTTTGGTAGTGGCACACACCTACCCAGAACCTATCCCTAGAACCACTACCATCTGTCAGTTTGTCGTACTGTGGTGGCTTGCATGTGACTGTGATGTTGAAAGCTGGTATTTAAAATACCAGCAGGGTCACCCAAGGTGCACAGGTGTCAGGGCGGTTTTTGTTGGACTTGCTTGCTGTGGATACGTCATCAGGAGGGATGAGTTGCTGGAGGAGGACATCATGCTGGGGGAGGTCAGGAGCCAGCAAGGGCAGGGGAGACCCTCAGTGAGATGGAGTGGCACGACAGCCACCGTGTTGGACTTGAACTTGCCAATGACTGTACGGATGACGCAGCTTCGGGCAGTGTTTTGTTCTGTTGTAAATAAGCCGCTATGAGTCAAAATCGAGTCAATGGCACTATCTATCCATCTAGCCTAGAAATTTGGAGCGGTACATAGTTATTTGTTTTTATTTGTTTAATAAGAGTTCATCGGCAGCAACTCTTCATAGTGTAGGAAAATGGTGAGACTATTTGCAGTGAACCAGTTGAAATGAGCAGCTGAACTCCAGGGAAGGGGCTTCCTAGAAGCCCTGGCAGCTGTGAGAAAGGCTGAGGTGAAGGGAGCCTCACTGCGGCCCTGCACCTTTCGAGACACACAGCAGAGGAAGATGGACAAATCCATGAGGTACCATGATCCTTGGGTGCCTGTCACTGAAACGTCCCCAACCAATCAAGCAGACAGAGGTAGGCAGTGAAGGGAAAATGATTTGACTGTTGCCTAGACAGTGTCCCTATGCTTTTTTAGAAGACCTTCATTGAGGTATGATTGATATACAGTAACAGCACATAGAAAGAAGACCAGAGAAGAATCAATGCATTCGAACTATGGTGTTGGTGAAGAATATTAAAAAAAAATACCTTGAACTGCCGGAAAAACAAACAAACCTCTTTGGTTAGAAGTATGGCCAGATTCCTCCATGGAAGAGACAATGTGGCGAGACTTCATCTCTTTTACTTTGGGCGTATTTGTTGTTAGAAAAGACCAGTCCTTGGAGAAGGACATCATGTTTGGTAATGCAGAGGATCAGTGGAGGAAACGAAGACCCTGAATGAAGTGGCAACAGTGTGCTCAAAGATAACACGTGTGACTATGGCACAGGGCCTGGCGCAGTGTTTTATTGTGTTGTACACAGGGTCGCTATGAGTCACAGCAACGGTAGCAGCACACAGATGAAATGTACCATTTGAGAAGTTTTACCCTGGCTCTACATACCTGCAAAACCATCATCACCATCAAGATAATGAACACATTCACTACCCTCCAAAGGTTCCTCCTGCCCTTTATGACCTCTCCCTCCTGCTCTTCCTCTTCCTGGTCTCTGTAACTACGGGTTATAGAATTTTATACAAATGGAATCAAGCAGCAGGACATACTCTTTCTTTTTTGTTTGTTTTTTTTTTTCTGGATTTTTTTTCACTCAGCATAATTATTTGGAGATTTTGTTGTGGATCTCAATAGTTCATTCCTTCCATTGCTGATTAGTATTCCACTGTATGGATATATCACACTTTGTTTACCCACTTACCTACTGACATTGAATTGTTTCCATTTTGATGGTATTAGAAAGAAAAGTGCTCCGAACATTCATACACAAAGTCCAGTGTGGACATAGGCTTTATTTCTCATGGGTAAATAGCTAAGAGTACAATGACTAGGTCCTGTGATGTTGTTGTTAAATGCCTTTCAGTGTGTTCTGACTAATAGTGACCCTGTACAGGGTTTCCAAGGAGCAGCTGGTAAGTTTGAACTGATGACCTTGAAATTCAAACTGACCTTGCAGTCCAGTGCTTACCCTACAGTGCCACACCAGGACTCCCAATAGGAATATATTTAACTTCATAAGGAACTGCCTCCAGCAATTCCACTCCTGGTCATACTTGGAAGCAGGGACTCAAGCAGAGACTTGAACATCTCTGTTCACTGCAGTGCTGTTCACAATAACCCAAAGGGGAAAACCACCCAAGTGTCAATCAAAATGTGTTGGACCCCTACAGAGAAATGAGTATTTCTGGCTGTCAGTCAAAAGGCGTTTTGATCCATGCTACAGGAGCTCTGGTAGCGTAGTGGTTACGAATCGGGCTGCGAACCTTAAGGTCAGCTGTTCGAAACTACCAGCTGTTCCGCTGGAGAAAGATGAGGCTTTCTACTCCCTTAAGGATTTACACTCTCGGAAACCCTGTACAGGGTCGCTGTGGGTCGGAACCGACTCGATGGCACTTAACAACAACAACAACAACAACAACAACAGCATGGATAAACCCTGAAAACATTCTGCTGAGTCAAAGAAGTCAGAAAGAAAAGGACAATGTAAAAGTGATGTGGAGGAGACACTGGACCTCATCTAACGTCACAGGTAAGGGAAGGGGGTACAGGGTAGAGAGAATCAACACCAGTCCAAGGCATATTCCCCTGAGGTGGAGGTCACACACCTCATCTCTCCAATCTTCTTACCAATTCTGACATGAGCCTTCCCATGGCAATCTACTTCGCTATTGGGTTCAATACTTGGTTATGATGGCCAGACTTACAGATAGAGGTATTTTAGGGAAGTAACAGGTGACTTCTTCAGGATCAGGAACAACTCAGGATACAGTTTTTGATCCAAACAAATAAGGTACATGACACCCTAGGCAGGTAATGTGTATGGAACCCCAGCACAGGAGCTTTTCTCAGTGGTGCCCACAGACACGTCTCTCTCTGGCCCTGGCTCTCAGCCTAGCCTCTGCCCTGCTTGAGCAAGTGTTACAAAGCTCCACCGCTGAGTGTGCAGTGGTACCCGCTCTGTCAGTAAGACTCAGGCCAAAGGCACTCAGCTTTCTCACTCCATGGGTCAGCACACCCTCTGTGGCCTCTTTGCTCTGTGGGCCCGAAAGCCCATCACCTCATCTCACACTGGTCTGTTTCTACTGCAGCTGTTTCTGCCTCTGCTTCTTACCATCTGGCCCCACTTCCAACGTTACAACTCTTTCTCCTGGATTCAGGAGGTTCTCAGGTCCAAAGGATGTGCTCTGCTCCCATCTTTTCTTCTTAGTGGCAGTGAAGTTCCTACCTTCTAAGTCTAGGATGACTCATTTTAAGCCCAGTGCAGCAGTAAACTGACCAATCCCTTCAAACCCATTGTCATCAAGTGGTTTCCAGCCCACACTGACTGTAAATCTTTATGGTAGCAGAGTGGCTTATGGGTTCAAACTGCTGACCTTGTGGTTAGCAGTCTAGCACCTAACCCGCTGAACTACCGGAGCACCTTTGCTAGGGTTCCGTACACATTATCTGCATAGTCCCACCCGAACAAGGGTGCCGTGTACCTTATTTGCATTCTTAGCAATCTGTCCAATCCTCTTGGTGGGACCAATGCACCCTATTTGAACAGCCCCACCCAATTACTTGGAGGGACTTACAAGAGCACGGAAAGGCTCCTTGAAAGTGATCCATCTCACCACAGACAAATATTGATCTACTTCCAAGAAATCTCTGCAATAGTTATTAGTGGGAATATGGGGAATGAGGAGTTGCTTAAAGGTGCTGAGTTTCTGTTGGTTATTAAGTGCCATTGAGTCAGATCCTACTCATTGTGACCCTGTATAGGGTTTCCGAAGCTTTGAATCGAGAGTGGTGATGACTGTACAGGATGATGAATGCATCGAATGTCACTGAATTGCACACTTAAAATTGGTTAAAATGTTAAGTGCTTTGTACAGATATTTCACCACAATAAAAATTTAAAAACAAAAAACATTTTCGCCAACTCTTTTCTGAAGGGCTGTACCATTTTTCATTCCCCAAAACAGAGTATGAAAGTCCCAGTCCCTCCACATCCTCTCCAACACTTGGTATGGTCAGTCTTTTTAATTTGAGCCATCGGGTGGGTTTGAAGTGATACCATAGTGTGGTTTGATTTGGAATTTGCCTTCTGAACTAAGGGTGCTGGGCGTTTTTTCATATACTTATTCCGCATCTATATATCTTTTCTTCTGAAGTGTGTGTTCGAATCTTTTGCCCATTTTAAAACTGGGTTATTAAGGAAAACGTAACATTAGAATCCATTGTATCATCACCATTATAATAGTAACTATGGTGCCAACTAAGTTTGGCACTTAACACACATCATTTTATTCAAATTTGGCAATAATGGTTAGGCATGTATTACTTGTCATTATTGATTAAGAAACTGAGGCTTGGAGAGTTCACAGAGCTTCCACAGTAATGTCATACAACTAGGTGATGGCAGGTATGGAATTCAACCCATGTCTAAACATGTTCTTAACCATGATGCAATACTGTGTCCATGAAGTTTCCTTACCCACAGCCTTCCCTGCAAAACAGTTCACCTCTGATTGTACAATGTAAAGTACTTATACCGACTACCCTGTTCAAGGCTTCCCTCCGTCAATGTGGAGTATTTCAGCCAAAGTTCTGACTCTGACTTTACACCTACCTGCTTTACCTCACAGGAGCAGGGGTGAAGAAATCGGTGCTGAGTGAGTTCGTTAAATGCTCTCTGCAGTTTAGTCCCCAACTCTCGTGTGTCAGCTGCCTAAAAAGAGCCAGAGACAGAATGTGCCGAGTCCCAGTACTGGAGACCCAGGGGAAGTGCCCTCAGGAAATTAATATGGGAAGAGGATGAGGTAGATAGGAGGCAACCTCCTGACATCCCACATGCTGGGAGTTTTAAAAAAGCCATTCCAGTCAAACTGAATTCTGACCCCTATGACCCTACAGGGCAGAGTAGAAGGGGCACATAGCATTTCCAAGGCTATCAATCTTTATGGACACAGACTGCCACATCTTTCTCCTGCTGAGCAGACAGTGAATTCGAACTGCTGATCTTTTTTGGTGAGCAGCTAATTGTTTAATCACTTGTGCCACAAGGGATCCTGGGAAACTTAGCATGCGGCAGGTAGTTGTCTGCCCGTTTCTGTCATCTAAGCAAGACCCTTCACATAAAGTCCTTATTTCTCTATCACAACAAGAGAGCCCCTCAGAAACCCCTTGTGAAGGGATTCTATAAACTGCTCCCCTCTAAGACAAGTCCCAGAGAGCAGAGGTTCCAAGGTATGACTGAGGCCAGTGTGAGAACTTTCCCTTTGATGAGCTTAGGGAGGAGAAGAGCAAATCAATAGTTAGCACTCACAGGGAAGGGTAACAACCTTCTCCTCTGTAGTCTAGAGCTGTAGGGTAGAAGAGTTCAGGGGGTCAGAGCAATCACCTGGGAGGCACACTTGAACCCTCACCTTACAACAGCCTGGGAGGGACTCTTATTTGTTCCCGTTTTGGATGAGGCTTAGAGAAGTACCTGCCTAAGTCCCCAGGTTGTTGTTGTGCAGTGCCGCCAAGTCGGTTCCGACTCATAGCAACCCTGGATAGGGTTTCCGAGGAGCAGCTGGTGGGTTTGAACCGCCAACCTGGCAGTTAGAGCAGTCCAGTGCTTATACTACAGTACCATACCAGGACTCCTAAGTCCTCATAGCTAACAAGTAAATAAGGCAAGAATGAAGCCCAAGCCTCTGATTCCAAAACTCTGCATGCCACTCCACACCGTGAACCATAGCTAGGACTTGTGGTTGCTTGGTTACTTCCCAAGTATCCTGTCACCATGAGGTAGTAGCAGGACAGCCTTTGACAAGGAATTGGGAATCATTGATCTAATCCTAGCGCTGGGACCTTAAATAGCTTGTTTTCTCATTTATGTAAATATGTCACTATTCACCCCACAAATATTTCTTAAGACACTTACCACAGGCCTAGTACTATATAGGGTCATAGTGTTGTTGTTGTTGTTGTTAAGTGCTGTTGAGTCAGTTCTGACTCATAGCAACCCCTCATAGGGTTTCCAAGGAGCAGCAGGTGAGTTTGAAGGGTCGACCTTATGGTTCAAGCCAACCTTGTGGTCCAGGGCTTTACCCCACAGAGCCATAGCAGGCTCACAGTAGGAGCTGATGAAATCATGTTTCTGGAAGCACTCTACATATCACTAACAAGGAAACTAGGATGTCATTCAAATCTTGGCACTTGTAAGCCTTCCAAACCCCTCCTCACCTGAAGGGCCTGGAGACACATCTTTCGGAAGCTGTTGCTGGTGCTTCCGATCACGACATTCAGGATGGACTCCACAGCCACGGCGTGGGCGGCCTGCAGTTTCTGATGAGCCTGGGGACAGGAAAAGGAAACAGACACTGTGCAAGGGGGCTTCAAAAAGTCTGTGGAAAAATTCCACTCTCTTTTCATGTCATTTTTTTCCACAATTTTTTTTTTGAAGCGCCCTTGTATTATGTAGCTGGTGGTATAGTGGGCTCTGCATTGGTCTGCTAACTGCAAGGCCAGTAGTTCGAGTCCACCCTACACAGGATCACTATGAGTCAGAACTGACTGGATGGCAACACAACCACCAACACCACCCATCCCAATCTGCTGGCTCAGAGATTCCAAATAGGCCAAGGATTTTAGTCAGAGCAGGATTTCAACACTTCTGTCTCCCCAGCCAACAATACTTATTGAGGCTATGACATACATAGAACATTTAGATCTTCAAATAAAGAAATGTTCTCTCTTTTCATAGAGATGATATATTAACACATAGCAACACAGGACCAGCAAAAGGAGACTGAGCAATAAAACACATACACTTACTACCTAAAACCCCAAACCTTCCTGCTTTGCTCTTTGAATGTGGTTGTTTTGTTTCCCTGGCAAGGGGTCAGATGAAGTAAGAAATATGTTCCCAAAAGTACACAGAGCCAGGTAAGAAGTGATGTTATAAAGTACAAGGGTAAGGGGAGGGGCATGGATGTAAAATTCTTGAATCCATATCCCCAGAAATATATAAGGCAAATTGGCAAGATTGACCCTTGATGTGAAGGCATGAATTCATAGGCTGGATGCAGATACAAGACCATCCAGGTGACTGGCAGAAGAGGCATGAAGGGGGCGGGCTTTGGGGCACTGTCTGCCACACTCCAGCTGCCCTCTCCTTGGAGAGAGTAGGAAAACGAAGCTGTCTGCCTCAGTTACCTTGGCAGCCTGGTGATGCTGCTCCAGGGCCTGGTCCACGGCCATCTGCACGGAGTCTCGTACCACGTGGCTCTCCCGGAGGATGGCACTGAGATGGGCTGTGAGAAAAGTGTGGGCTCCTAAGGGGAGGGAAAATGAGCCTGGTGACCACTCAGGATGGCTGCTTATGAGGCTGAGTCAGGGCCGGGGCTGGGGAAGGCGCTTTACTGAAGGAGAGGTCACGTCAGCGTGTTCACAAATGACTTTTTTTAGATTAAAAAAAAAAACTAAAATAACCAACAACTTACAAGCCCACCCAATTCCCAGTTCCAAATGAAAGAATGCTCAAGGAAATGAAAGACAGAATATTACTTTTGAAGACACAAGTAACGGATATTGTTTAATATATACCAGAAGCAGAAATACATACAAATTATTTGCTGTGAGCAAGATATATCATCAAATATGTATTTTTTTAAAGTTGCCACTGAGTCAACTCTGACTTACGGTGGCCCATGTGTGTCAGACTAGAACGTGCTCCGTCAGGGTTTTAGTAGCTGAGTTTTCAAAAGTAGATCATCAGGTCTTTCCTCCAAAGTACCTTAGACTCAAACTTCCAGTCAGTAGTGGAGTGGGTTGACTGTGTGCACCCCAGAGATGCCCACCAAGTAACAGATTCCCTTTGAATGACCCTGATGCAGCTGACACAGGAAGACATATTCACCTTGCAGATGCCTGAAGAAAATGCTACTCAATGATCCTTTCTTTGGTCAGTTTTCCTATTTTCCCCTCGATAGTGGGCTCAAAGCGGCGAGGCAGCCCAAGGCTGGCTGGCTTTTTTCAGGACTGCATTAAAAATGCAAGTCAAGGCTGAACAAACAAGATGGCAGATTGGGTGGAAGTGCAGTGAGGAGCTCCACCAGCAACAACACAGAATACAGGACCAAGCAGGCTCAGGGGATGGTCCCAGAACTCTGAACCACATATAAAGGAATATTTAGAAGGTTGGAAGGCTTACAGCTAGAGGAATTTGTAACAGAAGCAAGAAATCCAGTGCTTTCTAATTCAAGCCGCTCAGCTGCTCCAGGAGCCACCATCTTGGGTAAGACCAAGCAGGGGAAGGATCAGAGCAGCCACGAACACCTGACAGAACTGCAGAGATAAAGGTGTGGACATTCTTTTCTTTTGGTATCTGTTCATTGGTCCCTCGCTGTCTGCACACCTCCATGCTGGTGACTATAGGGGTGCCTGAGCTAGTGGACATACCAGCCCCACCCTTGGAGGGTTCTACTACGCATGCGCACAGAGCTCCTCAAAATTTAAAGAGACAGTTTCCAATTAAAATCAAATGGCCACAGCCAGCCCTGAACTGTTTATAACTAGAAAAAAGACCTGAACAGGGATTGTGGGGTGGGACAGGCAGACAGAAAAGGAAATAAGCTGAAAATTAAATCCTAAGTTATGTCAAAATGACCAACAGTGGCATCTTAAAATTTCTCAAGAAGAAGAATGAAAAGGGAAGCCCATTTCCTGATCACATCTACCTGGAGGCAATCAGAAAGCA